CTTGCCTTATGCAAAAATAGCAGCATTGCAGCTACTAATTAATGTCCATTAATCTACGGTTTTCTCAATTAAGTATTCAGTTAATAAAATGTCTGAAAACAGTGTGAGTGTACATACAAGTGTATATCACATGCTTTCAGAGCCTGAGCTGACTCATTCTGTCCAGCAAACCCATTCTCTTTATTAACTAACTGATTGACAGTTTTCACCTCTAAACAACATAAATCTTAGTCTACATAGACCTGAGTCTAAATATGAGTTGTATACACAGCCTCTTGTCACTTTCCTGTCCAGTGTAAAGCAACAATATCCTCAAGCACTGGTCATTGTGAGTGTGCACATCACTATTGCTAATCACTATTAAATAAAATAAAATGTAACATCCACTTCCTGCAGGTGAAACTAAGATGTAACAGCTGATGCTGGAAGGCTTTGAGGAGGAAGCCCCTCCCCCACCAGAGGGATCAATGCACATAAATGCAAGAGGTCACAGACCTTTGACATCTCCTTTCAGCTGGGGGAGGGGCGGGGGCCTTTGTGAGATTGGCTTTAATGATCCAATTGTCGACTGTGTCATACACCCTCATACAGTACATACAGTTGGACTCTGCTCAGCCGTGCGGCGCACACGCCACACTTCCGAGCGTCCGTTCGTCATCTTGAACCTGCCTGGCCACAAGGTCTGGATCGACAGCATCACCCTGTATCGCGCTCACTGTCTGCATCCAGCTGCCTCGTTTCGCTCTTCATCACTCCCACATCTGTTTTAACCTCTTCTCCCATCTCTTCCCCTCCTCAGCCTCCTCCTTTCCTTCTCCTCTCCAGACCTTATCTGTGCTTTTCCTCCCTCTTCTTTCATGCTGCATTTCTGAGTGACCAGATCTCTCCTCAAAAATGTTTCTATGGAAACTGACAAAACCGTTCAATTACAGCATACTATCACATCACTGCTTTTCAGTTATAGAATCATTACCTAACTGTATTCCATTACTTGCGACATTGCCGTTACGGTATGTGAATATTTTCCTCCCATTTATTTGGACTGGGACACGAGCAGTGAAGGTGGTGTTCCTGGCATTCTTGACCCTCAATAAAAAGGACAGGTTAAAAGTTTACAAGCATCCATGCAGAACACTCTTTGGCTTTATCAGCACTGAGAAACACGTTTAAACCTTTAATCCTGATGTTTAACTGAGACAGATACGGACACATATCTGATATAAAATGACAGACCTCACTGTGGTGATTAGCTGTTTGTCTAGCTATCAGTCCTATTCTGATTCACAGCACCACTTTCTTACAGTAGACAGTGTTAAAGAAATACAGATACTGCTTAGAGTCACGAAACAGGAACTGTATGATAGAATCTGATTTCTATCTGTTTGATTTGTGTAATTTTCCTGTACTCACTATGGACTTTACTTGAGTTTTTCCATTTCATGCCTCTTCAAACATCTTTTCATTGGGAAATAAGGAACATTTTATGAAATGTCGTGTGAGTTGTCTGTTTATATATAAAACTGGTAAATCACTCAGTTATCTGAAGAAAGCCTGGGAGAAAAGAAAAAAAGCTTTTTATCAAGAAAATGTATATGTAATAGTTGTGTGAGCTGAAGTAAACTTTTCTCTCTTTTTTGTGTCTTCTCTTTTTGTCTCCACATGTTTTGTATATGTAATACAAGATAGAAGATGTATTTCTTTGCAAATTAGGGGCATTTTGTTTGATTCGATGGGCCACATACACTGACACTACAAAAGAAAATTCATTTGATTTAGGCTCCTGACTCCTGCCTCAGCAGTTAAATGAATGACGGCTGTTTTGAGGACCACCTGTTTTCTGGGTCCTGTCACATCCCAGTCAAAAAAAGGTTTCAAACAAAAGCACTGATCTCTTCTCTATTTGGGATTTTGTCCCTTTGACCATCTGCAACCTGGATCAGAAAAGCCCACAACTACTGAGAGCGACCACTGAAAGGATCAAGAGAAGCATCTGCTTGCACTGCTGACTCGTCCAGTGGTGTGTTAATGATCTCAACCGTTATTCCCAATAATCTGCAAAGGTGTTTCATGTGAGATCAATTTTTTACAATGATATGTTTCTGGAGCTGGCTGAGGCCACAGCAGAAACTGAAACCCCTGAGTAACTGACTGGATTGGTAATCAATGGCTATGGAAACCTTTTTGTTATGACACTGAACACAGATTAAACGTGATCTATCACACTCTGGTCATAACATAATAAGATTAATGTTTAAATAATAACACATCCTATTGTGGAAGCCCAAAAGTCCTGTAAGTCATTATAATGAGAAACTTTCTCAAAATAATGACTTAATATCTAAAGATTATGACTTACTATCTTAAAATAATNACTGGATATCTCAGAATAATGACTTAGCGTCTAATAATAATGGCTTTATCTCTCAGAATAATGACTGAATATCTCAGCATAATGACTTAACGTCTAATAATAATGGCTTTATCTCTCAGAATAATGACTGAATATCTCAGCATAAGGACTTAATATCTCAGAATAATGACTTCATATCTCAGAATAATGACTGAGTAACTCAAAACAATTACCTCACTAACTCAGAAATAACAACCTAATATCTCAAAATAACAATATCTTAAAAAATGACTTGGGGGGATCTCAAGATAATGACATACACATACATAATAATAATCTAAGAGTAATGACTTAGTATCTCATGATAATGACTTAATATACAAAAACGACTATACGCACCATCTCAAAAATAATGACTTAGTATCTTAAAATAATGATTTAATGCTTCAAAATAATGAGTTAGTGTCCCAAAATAATGACTTAATATCTAAAAATAATGACTTCCTACCTTTTTTTTTTACTACTTTTATCCCATTAACCCTAACCCTATCTTTTTTTCTTTGACTGGCGGAACCAGGCTCCATTTTCTAAATAAAGAGATAAACACATAATGTAAAAACTGGAGCCCTGATGTGCTCCAAATGACAGTGAGCCAAGAATGAGAGAAAATAAATGAATCTGTTACCCTGGTGACAATCACTTTATGTACAAATGGATATGAAACAGTCATCTATCCACAGCGTGGTCCAGCGTTTTTTTAAAAGAAATATCATGGTTCTTTTTTTTCTTCCCGGAGAATCTCTGAGACGAACAGCAATTTTTTATCAAAGTAAAAAACTGTGAATGAGAGCTGGGGCAGAAAATAGAGGATAGAGGCTCCATTATCATAACAAGATAGAAGGTTTATGAAACTCTATTTTGAGAGTTAAAGAGATAGGTTGTAAAATAGGTCATATTTTTCATTAAAAATCATTTGTAGTTACAAAAACTGCATGTTTGTCCTAGCGAGGAGAGGACTTGATGCATTTATTTCTCATTAATGACATCTAGTCTGACATTTTTGTTTGAAGCAAACTGTATCCAACCTGTATTCTACTCATTTGCAGTATTTCCAGATCACATGCATCACTCCTGCAGGCAAAAAAAAAAGATGCTGCAGAAATCACACATTCGAATTCCCAGCTCTAAAACCTGAGGCCTTCACAAAGCAACATGGGAAAGAGACATCTCCTTAAAGGCTAAAGAGCGAAACCTGTCTGAGCACAGGAGTGGTGTCACGGGGGCCTTACTTATCTCCTCCCAGATTAAGACTCAATTGTTTGCTGGAAACAAAGGCAGCCAATGAGGAAACCAGCCCCCCCCCCAACGGCCAGATGGTCAGCGTTCAGAGCCCCCTGACCCCTCCAGCCCTTGCCCTCTCTGTCATTGGCTGCTTGTGCTCTGAGGGCGAGACAGGCCACCCAGCAAACTTGCGACGCACGCCGCTCAGACAGTGCACACACTCACAAGATACTGTATCTGGGTGACTTTGAGGGAGGCTTCACTTTTCATATGATGCAGAAAACCAACATGACTGTCTGATGTAATGACAGTCCAGTCAAAAACAACTGAGATAGAAGGCAGTATTTCTAATTATGTTTCAATTCTGTAGCTGGAAATTTTACAGCTGAAGAAACAGAAGGATTCAAATGCTGCTTTAACACAACATGTAAGGTTCAGAAAGTACAGCATGGCTGGGAATGACGTTGCCACATGAAGGGCAAGTCTGCATCTAGTAAAATCAACATCTCCTCTTTTTGTGCACGTAGCTGTCATTAGCTCTAATGACACTTTGGAGGGGGGGGGGGGTATTGAGGAGGCGTACAATGCAACCTTTGGGACATCAAACATGCAAGAATGGAAAGATAAGACGTTGTCAAGATGGACCTGTTTGACAAACCACCGAAGACATCTCCTGGCAGGGCTTATCTGATATGACTTTATCTGAGAGCTGCTGAAGCCTGTTTCAACACAGAGCCTTGGGCAGTTGTAACAGAATTCTACAGAGTAAACTCACGGCCCTGTCAAAGATAAATAGGCTTTGTTCCTGACATGACTTTGTTAACACTGACTCATCAGCAGGAGCATTAATAAAAGCATAACATGATGTTTGAAGAATCATAAGTAAACTGGTTGTGTGTTCGTGACGAGTGTGAGCAGACTTATTTTACTGCCACAGGTTTAGAAAGGCAACACTGACATATGTCACAGCAAAATGTGCTCATTAAAAAACTAATTGGGCAAATGCATGTAGGTCTGTTGCACACATTTGCAGCAGACAGCCATGGCATAAAGCAAGGCTCGTTTATTCAGGCGATTAAATAGGAAACAACACTTTAAATTGCATTTTTGTTGACTTTGCATGCAATTAATTAGCCAATCACCTCATGTCACATTTTAACTTCCCCTTCAAAATAAAAGTAAATTCATTGAGGCATCACTTGAGAATGAAATAAACTTGTTGAACGTTGGGTTCATGGCGGAGGTTCAGAGACCATCACCCACAGAGAGTCAACAACACACAGCTCATCGCAATGACCCAGGCTCTTCAATGTGTCATGAGATAATGAAGGTGAAGGGAGGAGAAGATTCCAGCCTCACGCGCGCCTACCTTTATCCGGACTGCGACGCGTTTTTAAACCATGTCCGGTCTCGGCACCAGTTCCGTGCACCGCCGCCTCCTCGGCTCTGTGTCGGTTCTGTGTCCTCTCTCCGTGCGCTCCGCTCAGCCACAGCTGATTTGTGCACGGCGAGGGAGCCGCCAACTGACGTCAGAGAATTACTGCGCGTACCGTTCAGTCTGATGTGATGAGAGGAGAGACAAACACTAAATCCATCAACATATCACACAAGGAGGCTAATGTTCACCAAGTATGAAATAATCCAAGCAGAAGTTTAAAAGTGCAGTGGAGAGAACACTGTTGTTATAGTTCACTGTGCAGCCCCCCTCCCCCCCAGTGTGTCTCTATATACTGTGATGTTTAAGATAAGATCAACAGGCTGACTCACAACGAGAGGGGTCAGTGGACTGACCCCTGCATGCATCATGGAGAGATACCAAATGAATGATAAATTATTGATTCACTGATGTCAAGTGCAAAAATGTATATTTTAGAAATTAGATTAACAAACAAATGGTGAAAAAAGTGCAGGGATAAACATGTAAATACATGCAAACATTGTCATAACTCACTGAATGATACATACATACAATCATACATATATACAAACAAACATATGTGTGTTCATGTTTATAACAAAACCCACATACTCACACCATTCAGTATACACAAATATCTGTAAAAAACATAATTGTACATGCAATGCCCAAATACTATAGCAAGTGCCTGTAACCATTTATGCATAGGCCACATTAAACTGTGTCATTAAAGCAGCAAATGTATTTCTCCAGCTCTGTGTTTTTATCATACAGTCAATGTTTTTTAGGAGATGACACCCCCCTCTATTGGTAGAAATACTGAATTGATGCACTGATTCAACAGGTTATAGTGTAAATGGTTTCATGTTGGAGCTACACTGGATCCTATAACCAAAGGTACAAGGTTTCGGATGTTGTCAGGACATTGGATTATTTCCTTTATTTGATTCGATTTTGTTATTCATTAGAATGTACCGTGTTATGTAGCACACACAAATGAATTCCTCGAAACCTCATCGTGAATAGTGTTTTGACCCAGGTCTCCTTGCTGGTTCATCCATAAATTGGTTCTGAGTGAATCAAAATGAGCAATGTCATCGACAATTTATTTCAGAATGGAGAGTATAATGTCTAAACAGCTTCATGTTCATTGCTCTCACATCTGGCAAATGCTGAGGAAACATTCAAGTGAGAGTATTTTTGTAAATGAATTGTCTTTTGTCTATTATTATTATTATTGTCTATCTATTGTAGATATTTGGAGAATGGTTATGAAAATGAATGACTCACCATTAACCTTCTCCTTTTTTTTTAATCCTCCTGCTCTTTCTCCAGGGCTGGGAGCTCCGTGGGCTGATCAGTCATTTCATCCTCAATCATGGTCAGCCATTGATTCTTCAGGGTTTCCTCTTGGCATTATGTTCTCCGTCCAGCTTCATGAGAAGTTCAGTTTGAAAGTTTAAAAAGAATAATTATTTACCATTGCTGATGGCAATAGTGGCAACCGGAAGTGTTATGTTTATTGTGGTCTGTCACACTCCCTTCAACACCGTATCTCAGGTAACGCCAGGAGAGAATCCCTTTAGATTTGGCACAAACAATCTGATTATTTGTTAACTGGTTATATTTTGGTGATTAGAGGTCAAAGATCAAGATTCACTGTGACTGTACGAGAGCCATTTTGGCATCTTTAATGTTATATCTCAAAACAATTATGAAGGACTTTCTTCATATTTTGCACCAATGTTCACTCAAACAGAAAGATGAACTGGTACAAGGTCAGAGTGATCTTACAGTCTTGTAAATTAAATATATGAGAAAAACCTCTAATACATCAGTTGATACAATATATAAATTCTTTGGAAGATACAAAGTGATCACATGGGCCAATATGTTGAAGGCCCTGCGTCCTGGTTCTGATTGTCCTCTGATGTATAACATTCTTTTTGCAGCTGTAACCTTGAGAGAAGCTCAGGGTTACAAGCAGGTTCAGTAAACATTTCAGCATAGAGCCATTATTGTCAAGATCAGAGGCCTTGTTCAAGTTACTGAGCATATGCAAGACTGCCCTCTGTTGGTTGATATGATGAACAGACAGACAAAAAATGCTAAAAATCTTTTTTAAAACAATGACGGATAATGATCAAACCTACTGGAAAGGCCATGCTGTCATAAAAGTTATATCATAATTACATTAGAGGT